ATTGGTTAGCCGGAAGCTGTACCGCGGTGCGTGAGTATTCGTTGCACGATCACCACAGCTCTTCTCACGTTTGTTATCAGTTTACATTTTACCCCAAATAGAGTACACCATTCGAGTGTGGAATCCCCGGCTGCAACGCAATCGTAAGATTCTGGAACGTCCACAAATAATAGCCTACTAAGATGTTCAAAGGACTGCATTCCAAGACATATGTGAAGAGAAAAAAACACTGTGGTCGTACTCCATCCGGTATCGACGGATTGGAGACTTGACTTTGGTGAGTCAAATAAAATAGAATCGTGGCCATCCATGTCGTTCACTGTTCATCTCGTCGCCCAACATTCATCTCAGAGATCATTAATTCAATTCTGTGCTCTAAAACTGCCCACTAGAATGTCAGCGTTATTCATTTGACTCTAGAGTGGGTAGTGTTTTTGGAATTCCCTGCAAGCTCACGGTGTTTTTCACAGAGCAACTGATTCTTTAAAGCACAGACTGGATGAATTATCAGATCTTATATTTCACATCCATAGCTGTACACGTACCAGTGAAAATTCGTGTCATTCCTCATCTTCCTATGATCGTTCCATCGATTCGTTTCTGACAACATGCTCTATGGGACAAGACAAGCAACAGATTGTATGTGTATTTCTGTGGTGATCCGGGCCTACGAGATGATGCATACCGTGAAGCGACGCGTTACAGTTTTAGGACAACTGTGATCGATCAAACTTCACGAGTGACGTCAGCAAAGCGCGTACGTGTCACTGCCTCTGAACTACATGCTGAACTGAACTGAACTGAGATTGTACCAGCCAATCAGAGACCGTGCTGCCCACCCAGAATCAGAACGATGCAAGAAATACTGGAACGCGATTGGCAAAAGCCCGATGACCAAGGAGTTTGTTTTGTACATATTATTTTATCCCCCATATTTGATTCAATAAGCAAACTACTACTCTTGTGGCCATTTCCTCGCGTCTCAGTTACGTGGGATATTGTGTGCAATTATCTGTGTGGTCCAGTGCGTACGTAACGTCCAAGATTCCTAATTCGTGATTCGTATTGCGTGGTTAGTATTCCAAGTTCAGTGCGTACTACCAGTACTAATACTACAAACATCACTATTTCCCGTAATAGAACTTTTACTTCGATCGTGAATTTATCTTTTCCTGTGCCCTTTTAGTGTGCAATACATTGAACACACGACTAGGAGATTATCAAAAGGTATTACTGAGCATTGTCCTGTGGCCCTCTTCAAAGGAACGATTAAGGGCACTCGCAGCGTGGTCATCTCGTAGATAGTAGACATCAGACACCGTTGTTGCTCTGGCCCGGGCGTCGGACTGATCATGCATAAAGCAGCGTCCTTCCCCCTCCTCAAACACACACGCACACTGACCTTTCCGGATTACATAATATGATATACATGACATATCGTTTCCGGTGTAACTTAATCAGCATCATCCGTATCTCCCTCGCCTTAGCTATCAGCACTCAACAATGTTTGAATCAGCCCATCCCATATTTGTACCGTTGTTTCATTCAAACTTTGTCCTCTCGCCCTCTCCATGACTCTAGCATTGTCTACCGTTGGCCTTATTATATTTGCTAGCTCTACCTGCTCGACTCTTCCATCAATATAACTCAAGTTACAATCGATCAATCAGACAGAAGGTACTATTATCGCAGTATATATGTAACCACCTGAATTGTAATTTCTTCTTGAACCTCTTTTTTACAACTAAATGTGGTACAAGACACCACTTATTTTCATATCTGCTGAACGAAACACAAGATTTTCATAGTCTCAGAAGGCTATGAAAGATTAAGAATCGCTTGGTTTAAACGGTTCTACTCCACGGAAGATCAAATGAATGTTAAGGCTCCAAAATTTGATTAGGGTCGAGGTGGTGGCTACAAGGAGAGAGGGTAGGGGGCATATCTGGTTTAAATTACCATGCGGTGTGGTATAGTTCGACTGATAAATGCAATCGGTGATGAAATAGATTTTACTCCTCGTGTTGAAATTCGTCCACATTTCATAAGCATGCTGTCTCAAGGGCGGGGGATATACACAAACATTCGTGCTCAACTCTGAGCGCTAAAGTGATTGGTTTAGGCGAAATGCTTGAAATCATCAAAAGAAGAATTTGTTCACAACGTCTGCAAACACTAAGAAGCTGCGTTCCTCGTGAAAGTACCCACAACATGGTATAAGCAAATCGGTCGACTTCTCGTTCACAATTGTGATTCTCTAACTGGCATCAGCGATGAATGCGAGTCGATTGTTTTCAGACTATTTCACCCGAAACCAATATTAATTGATGGAAAGAACAGATGTTTTACACATTAAAAATTGATCTGTATTATTTTCGGAATAACTACATATTATTTACTTAGTAACTGTATTTATCGTATGGGGTCTCCCTCTCGTAGGTATCGTATCTCGGGTTTCCGTATTCACCGTATTGTTCAGCTTTACCATAGTCCTCAGATTTGCGAGCCGCACTTGATCCACCATAACCCTTCAGGTTGCCATAGAGTCCGAACGGCCGGGTCATTATTCTCACAATCCATTATCGTCATCATCATCATCTTCAGTGTACAAGGGAAAACAGCAAACAACACTGATCGCTGCCAAACTCACTATGCATACATAAATGTTAAGTGAGAATGCGTAAGTTGGTCAGGGACTGAGCCTATTTGAGGGGAGGGGGGGATAGAAAGTGAAACCCTATGGTCAGCACACAGTACACATCTTCAGACAATCTGGCCCAATAAGCAGTGACAACAAGAACGTCGTCGGTTCGTTGTCATGCCTTTCAGGGTATCCAACCACTCATTTAGGTCGTTTTTTTGACCCGCATCCTGGAAGACGAGAGACCCCTACACGATATAATTG